ATGGTGATGCCGTGATGGTGATGCCGTGATGGTGATGCCGTGATGGTGATGCCGTGATGGTGATGGTGGTGATGATGTTGGTGGTAATGGTGTTTGTGTGGTGATGGAGATGGAGATAGAGATGATATGATATGATGGTGATGGTGATGGTGATGATGTTGGTGATGATGGTGATGGCGGTTGTGATGTTAGGGTGGTGGTGGTGGGTTGATGATGGTGTTGATGATGGGGTGATGGAGATGATGATGTCGCTGAAGATGCTGCTGCTGGTTTGTGTGTAATGATGATGATAAGGAATATGATCATACAAATTTCTTATTTCATTCAGAGCTGCAATGTTTGGTCACGTGCAAATCATAGAATATCTCCTTGACAACGGTGCTGACGTTGACCCACGTGACAAATCCAACCAAACTCCATTCCTGGTGGCCGTTGCAAGTAAAAGAACCAATGTAAACACAGTAAAACTGCTGCTCGGCAGAGGAGCTCAAATCAATGCGCAAGACGCATATTTGAAAACCTGCTTACATCTGGCGATCGAGAATCAAAACATCGAGATTGTTAACTTGTTACTTGAGTATGATTCAGGACTAGAAAACCTGAACAGTCCAGATGTACAAGAAAGAGTTCCTCTGCACTACGCGGCGTTGTGTAAGGATGTTAAGGTAAAATGTTTTTCTTAAGGAAGAAATCAAATCAATCAACCTTGGGCGTAATGGATTCCCACGTGTTATTTCCAAGAGTATCAAAAGTTGGCTATTTTCACCAGCAATACCTTCTTGTTTTGTTGACAGTGTTTAAAGGCTCTTTTAGCGAAACAATCGCGCTTAAACTTCCGAGACGAAGATCAAAAAACCGCTCTGTACCTTGCGGCCGAAAATAACCGAGCTGAACATGTGGAAGTCTTGGGACTAGCTGGTTCATCTGTGAATGAAAGAAATGAAGAAGGTAAAACGCCTCTTCATGCTGCAGCTTGTAACGGAAACAGGTGAGGGAAAAAACAAACAATGCATGGTCATCATTAATTTATTCCTTTTGCACTGTCTGCTCTAATTTCGTAGTTATCATATAATGGGGTGAGAGCGATTGAGTTTCAAGGACCACCAATTTCACCCTAAATCCTCTTCTGAACTGGAAAGACAGGTTATACTTTTGAAATACCTAGCAGCCAAAGTTAAGCGGGACCGGCTGGCACAATTCTTTTGACCTTGTGTTGGATCATTTGAAATTAAACAAAGAATTTGTTCGACATATGACAAAATGTAAACAGAAGGCAAAAAGGTGCAAACGTTTTTTAATCGGGTCCTTTTTGAATAGGAAAGTCTGCAAGGTGTTAATCAAGCTTGGTGCAGACATCAACAGCCGCGATGACAAAAAGCAAACCCCTCTCATGTGTGCTGCTGTTGAGGGCTGTGCAAAAACATGCAAGACGTTACTAGAAAATAATGCCAATATGGACGATACAAGTGCTGATGGCGAAACACCTCTACTGATAGCAGTACGTCACAATAATGGCTCGGTTGTCGAGATGTTGATGGATCTTGGCGTTAATGTCAAGTGTCGTAATGTTAGTGGGATGGGAGTCGTTGAGATGGCGGGAAAGTGGAATGCTGTGGATGCTGTCAAAGCTGTTTGTCGTAACAAAAGGTAACAGTCTTACCGTTCCGACAATCCCTTCGTACTCATTTTCCTTGATCCATCATCATCCTCCATGCATCATCGTCATCAACATCACTACCATCATCATCATAATCGTCTTCGTTTACATTTCCATAATGAGCATTATTATCAACATCGCTCCTCTCTTCATTACCAACATGTATCTTTATGCATCGTCATGTCATCGCATCATTATCACCATCGTTATAATTACCATCATTACTGACTTCGTCGCGTCTTCCAAATCACTCCATAGTTCATGGCTGGAGTTGGGGGGGGGGGGGGGGGGGGGGGGGGGGGGGGGCTAACCAACCAGCCCATATGCATGTAATTCCCATGGCTAGGGCTGAACCTATCCTTACTAATTCAGTGTTACGTAATTCAGATGTGGTTTTACTGTGTTATATCATTCGTTTCTCGTCCTTTCAGATGGAGAGAAGTACTGGAAGACAATGATAGCCCCACTGGTGTACGTCCAATGCAAATACTCATCAATAGCTTCCCCGAGGCAGCTGCAATTATAATGAACAAGTGTATCAAAAAACCCGAGAATATCAACCCAAGACACCAGGACTATACCATTGAATATGACTTCACACTGCTCGACCCAGGCCCTGACGATCCAGTTCTCCTAAATGGTAAACGATACTTTGGACCGCTGACCATGGTTGAGCATCACCGACGCGATCTTCTCTTGCATCCTCTGACTCAAACTCTTTTGGACCGAAAGTGGAAAACTTTTGGAAGTTATATATTTTACTTTAGTTTCATCGTCTACTTGGTGTTTCTGGTTTCCTACAGTTATTTCATTATCACAGAAAGACAAGAGGAGAAAATGATGGGTATTTTGGGTAGCACCAATAGCACTCTCAAGATGTCTGCAGTGTACGAAGTATCAGGGACTAAATATGCCATTGCTTCAATGAATCTTGCCTTCGTCATCTTACAGATTGCAAGAGAGATGGCTCAAATAATACTACAAGGACGATCATACTTTAAAGATGTAAGTAGCAAGACTTATTTATGCGCGTCTATGAAGTACTTCGTCGGTATGGTGGCCATCTTGCCAAGGGGCAAAACAAAGCAAAGATGAAGGAAAATATATAGAGTTTGGTGTGTTTGTCTTTTTTTATGGCCAAAGATCATCGATGTGCCTTCTTAATTCAACTTTTTCTGTTTTTTTCTTCTGGTGAGCTGCTAATATCAATCGACGTCATTGCTGTAACAAAGCTTTATTTGCCCCCTTGGACATCCAACAATGCCTTGCGATCCAAGATGGCCGCCTTATCTTCAAAGTAGTCTATTGACGTGTAGGTCAAATATTAATTTGAGGAGGAAGGGTGGCTAGCTCGTAATTTGGTTATATATTTGAAATAACGAAAGGTACTTAATAGTCTCAGCAACTCTTGCCTGCGACAAGCTGAACACGATCCCATCTTAACTCCTTTAGCTCCCATTGTATACTGCACAGTAAATTTGAGGGGACCAATTTGGCCCCAGAGAGCCATTTTGGCTTTTTCAAAGTAGTGCTATTTTAACCCAGGCTAGGGCCAAAATAGAACAATGCTATTTTGGCCCCATAGAAACCATTTTGGTATGGGTCTATCAGTACTATTTTGGCCCCCTCAACTAGGCCAAATCAGGGGGGAAATCCATATAAGGGGCTAAAACAGTCCCAAAATCAGAGCTAAAAATTGGCCCCTATCTGCCGGTAGTGCCAAAATAGCCCTTCTTTAAGGAGGCCACTATAGGGTCCAAATTTTGGCCCCATTTTTGGGGCCAAAACCGCCCTATCCGATTTATTGTGTGTTGGGTAAATTATATTAATCTTTTTTTCTATTAGTACGTAAACTTTATTGAGTGGATGTTGTACACTTCAGCTACGCTCTTCTTGATTCCATACGTCGCTCCTGATAGCATGGTCGACTTTCTCTTCGCGTACATTACTGATCCATACTCCTGGTGGCTCATCGCACTTGTATCCATATTTCTGTGCTTCATCAACTTTGTGCTGTTCCTGCGTCGCTTTAACATGTTCGGAATCTACATTTCGATGTTTCTTGAAGTGTTGCGTAGTGTTGTGAAAGTGATGTTGATATTCATAGAGATCATTATGGCTTTTGCTATTGCCTTCTTCATTCTTTTCAAAGAGCAGGTAAGATATAAGTAACATATTTTGAATGTATTATTGTGCGGTCTTTATGACTAATAATAATAATAATAATAATAATAATTACATGTTTTACCAGGGTAAGCTCGTCAGCAAACAGCTGTTATCAAGGAGCGCCCTGGGGGCAACAAAAATTATCAACAAAATAATAAGATAATTAAATATATATATACTGTAAAATACTAAAATGTTAGTAAAAATCAATACAGTTCATTAAAACATTTAAAAAATATCTTTGAGATTAGACTTAAATAATAATAAAGAATTAATCTCTTTAAGAGAGCTAGGTAGACTATTGTAAATGATAGCTCCAGAATAATAAAACGTTTTCTTGGCTGATTCAGTCCTAACTTTTGGTATGATAATATTTAAACCATTTT